GAATTGAAATACCCTGAGAAGAACCGACCAGAATTGTATTTGACTATTGTTTGGTGGCTTTCAGAAGATTTTGATGGCTTGAAATTCTGAGAAATTCACCCAAATTCATCTGATTTGATTGATATTATACCTCCATCTTAATGGGGGGCATTTCTCGTCGACACAAGGTCGAGTGCCGCCGGGAGAAGTTGGGGCCAATTGGAGAGATTATATGAATGGCAGGGATGGAGTTGCTGCATTTGATGTCAATGGTTTGCGGCACAACAGTCAAGTATACCTGGACGTCTCTTCAACAGATTTGTTGATTCACCCCTCGAGCCAATAAACCAATATCATTCTCACTTCTGTCTTGCACTGGGATATAAATTAAATTCTACCAGGGATTTTGGATTTAATTTATTGTGTCTAATTGTTTAATTAAGTATAGCAAATCGCCAACGGCGGTGCTCCTCCGTCGTCCGCTAAAAAAGCTCTAATAAAATATTCCTCTCTGAGTGTAATTTTTAATTGTCCTCCCTCCGCACGGGCGTTGAAATTGCCACCCGGAGTGCGAATGGAGGGTGCCTAAAGACAGAGAGAAGTCTCATTATTCTCCAGTCGTAATTCAATTCGTCATTTGATTCTTTGTTTTTGCCGGATCATACTCAATTGGGCGTCTCATCGTGAGATGCGGGTTTTTGTCCTCCTCCAGAGGTTTCTTCTGAAATTATCAAGGGCTTTTAGGAATATTTACGCTTCATTAAAGACAATTCAGTGCAAATCTGGCGTATCGAATACACACAGACGAAATACAAAGTTTTCATCTGTTTTGTATGATGTATTAGTTTCAATATCAGTCTTTTATCACTATTTTAAAACTTTCTATCTCTTTTCTAAAGAAAATCCGTCATTGCTTGCTCACTGAGAAAGTTATGATCATATAAAAGTTTCTACATTTCCAGGAAATCCCTCACAGTTGTTGAGCAAATGGATGCGGATGAATGACATAGATAAATCCTTCGTTGTGAATTAAGCTCCAATAATACAAGTAATTCCAGGTCCCTAATGAGATCCTTTGCACCTTCTGCTCCGCACTTTTATATTCGCCCCGCAGTCTTATCTAAAAATAGATGGTGACCATTGACAGAGGGTCCACGAGTTGGGGCGGAAAGTGAAAAACCTGACCTAAATCTTGATGTTTTCCCACACATTCCCGGCGCAATAGGCGAAAATCATCTCTTCAGCAGCAACACATTTTCCTGTGCGGACTCCAGTAATTTTATTCTACACATGTTTCATTTATCTATCATGTCATGGACAGACATCCTCGCACTTTTGCACGGGATCGTAACCCAAAGCGTGTGCAGGCGTTGGAGTGAGACCACATCTCCTCGGGATTTGTCGCTTTTTTATTGCCCACCACCCTTTGAGTGTGATGTACTTCCTGATGTTGTGAACGTTTCGGAAAGGAGGAACACCCTCAAAGCCATCGAGCGATAACTCTATTTTATTTATTACTGTCCACGAGTACTCGACCGTGTGGTCGTTCTCCAGTCAACCAGCGGCCACGCTTGTGTGGGGCGGAATCCAATAGAAAATTAATGCTTCCTTGAGAAAAATCAATCCAGCAATCCCTACAGCTCCACACTGGCTCATACGATTAAAAAGGAATTGCTTCCTGTGCGCTTGTCTGTCGATTTTTACAGCAGAAATTGAAGAAATCTGTAGCTTCAATACTTTAACCCATTGACTATACTTTCTTGTATTGAATAGAAAATGTTAAATTGCACACATGCATGTTCGATTTCTCTTTCTCTTCCTTACATCTTCTGTCAGCGTGAAAAAGTACCCTGAAGTATGTATCTCTGAGAGAGTGAGAATCACATCTCACCCACAAGGATTTGTCGGAATTTAATCCGTGCCACTGAAGGAGAAAAATTCCTGGAAATCCTTCAATTTCCTTCATTGGAGGGTGTCTGCATTTTAATTCGCACGCAGATGCGACAGAGCTCCTTAGCGTTGCCGCCGCGTGGTTCGGATGAGGCAGCGAGAATTCATGAGGGCAATTGAAGGCACCCCATCTCACACCGCATATAAGGCTCCGTGGGGCCCAAGAGACGAATGATTGAGATTCTGGCGTGTGTAATAAATGAGGACAATTCAGAGGATACATAATCCATTCCGCCCTCCCCCATGATTGGCTCAATTGTTTTCTTACTGTGCCCGTCCGGCAACTATCAAACCTCTGGCCGGGGGTTGCGAGTGGTGTAGAAAAAAGGCAGCTGACTTGAGACATATCGGATGGCGAAGATGGAGAAAAAGAGGATTCCCCGGGAAAACACACAGGGCGCACGATATATTGATAAATGTAATGCGTTTACTGGAGGAGTGTCGAAGAGAAATGTGCCAGCAGATCTCTCATCGGCAGGGTGGCTCTCCCTCATTGAATAAATTGATAATGAAATTGGAGCAATAATTCCTCACTGGTTATCCTTGCCGGCAAAGGCATCACCCATATGTTGACTCAATATCGATTGCCAAAGGAGACTCCCACCCATGAAATGTCAAGAGTTTTAACAAATAAAAGCACCCCCAAGAGAATTTCCAACCAATAACCACTCAAAGAATGAGTGTACACAGAGTCTGTAAAAAATTCTATTTACACTGCAAGCCGTGTTTTTCCATGGGATGCTCCTCTGCGTAATTTCAGACCAATTGAGCTTGAATGTTTGGGCATTACGGTGCAAATACCCATGAAAGAAGGTATATGGTTGCACAGGTTGCGTGAGATTTGGTCGTGTGAAACTTAACAATATTGAATATTGAATATTGAATATTCTCAAGCAATTATCAACTCTTTTTATGCATATTCAAAGTTTTCACGGCAAATTGAGTAGACAGTTTACTAAGCACTTGCAAATGGTTAAAATTGATAACTTTTGATTAGTCTGACTCATATGTACACATTGGTTATGAGAGTGTAATTAAGTTCAAAGCGCAATGTCTCTATTTACATACAATTGCTTTCATAAGTCTAACATATTTTGAACTTTAATTTTCTCTGAATATACATACGAGTAAACATTATGGTTCAAATTCATACATTTTGACGCCTAATCTTTAATATGAGAATTTTCTAATATAAATTATTCCCATCAGTGGATTTACCTTAATCCAAGGATTTTTCCATCATCCTCAATTTTTTCCCGGGATATTTTCAATATGATTATCCATATTTGGAGTAGAATAATAAGCCGCACTTGTCCAGTAATCGTTTATGATGGGTGAGAGAAAGAAAAACAGACATTCATCGTGTCACAGTAGATTTTTGTCGCAGCTCATATTTAATTTAACACCCATTTGTGTTGATCAAATTTCAGTGAGAATTACGATTCTCTTATTATCCACGATAATCCATCATTTTCTCTGGACAGAAAAAAACCCCATTTATTATTTATTTGTCCACAATTTCCAATAATTTGCTGTGGTGAAGTTGTGATTAAATGTGCATATTTGATATTGTTTATTTACAGATTTTACTTTCCATACTTTTTGCCCCGGGGGAAACTTAACAGATGTGATATTGTGTTTCTTCTTATTACACACCGATTTGCTTGGTTTCCGCTTGACCGCAAGAGTGGTGAAAATGATCCGTCCGCAAGAGTGGCGATATTTGTTGCAACAAGCCGATAAATTTATATGTTCCTCTGTGTATGTTTTGAATTCTAAAGCAATTTTCTCAGCTGAGATTTAACTGCTCCATTTCACTTAGTGGCCATGCCAGAGGTGTTCCGTGCAAGAAATAGCCACGTTGTGCTGCGGCAGAAAATTTTCAGCCACACAAATGCTGTGAATATTTCATAAATGGCAATTTTCACACAATGCAGATAGTGTCTTGTGTATTTTCTCTGGGCATATGTTTTTCCGATTATTTCCTTCCTTCTCAAGTGTATTGAAATAAATTATTCTCGGTGAGTGTACATTTGGGAAAAGTTTCTCCGAGGGAGAACTCTTGGTGCGAGTTTGAGGCGGGTCCGTGCCCAAACCACCTTGGCAGTTTCTCTTGTGCCCAGGATCCGACGTGTTCAGAATAATCGTCATTGTAATTTCGCACATCGTTTGAAGATACGGGCCTTCAGAGGAGCATGGCTCAAATGTCTGAACAAAATAAGTGATGATGGACGGGATAATTCAAATAAAGAAAATTAGCATTATTTTCTCTTATATTCTCCTCTTTCACGTCACCCAAGATACCCTCGAAACACACAAAAAACTGTCACACATTTTTACATGATATTAAAAACTGACAATGGAATCAATCTAAATAACCTGAAAGTTCAACAACTATCAAAAATATATTTTATTTAAAATCAGAATTAATTTGATTTTGATTCGCTATCCTTTTCCAGGGAAAGAACTTGGAAGAGAAGATGTACATAAAAGAGATTGAATACCGTAAAAGTCATGAAAAGCATTGCATCAATTACTGAATTGAGAAAAATTTCATGAAAAGTATTGAGCTACACATCCTTTCAGCAGACTATTTAAATAATTTGTTCACTGCACAACAAACTCGAGGGCACTTTTAATCCTTTTTATCCGCTGAAATTCTTTTTTTCATTCCATCTTGCGAGAATTCATCGTGGTGTTTATGGTGTAGAGCTGGCTAATTGAAATTAAATCACGTAGGAGAAATATTTCTCTCATGAGAAAACATCTCTCGTGCAATTATAAAAGTTGCGAAGAATGTGAGAAGTAGTATAAGTATACGAGAATTTTTTTTTCACTAAATTGTGCTCACAGGCATGACTCGAAAAACCTCCATTGGGAATTGTGATGATTTTGGGCCAAGAGATAAAATTAGCATTTTAATGGCAACAATCATAACACCAATACAGCGAGAGATTGCCAGATAAATTAATTATATAATGACAAATTGCTAATTCGGATGTGGTGGACCAAACGCAAAAGGTTGACAATATTATGTTGTGAGATAGAGTTAATCACACTTTAATACATACATCTGAACGAGTGATTGTGCCGTGGTTTTAATTGACTGGCTGATTGGATGTTTTGCAAACACAGACTGGTCAACAATCACTCCAGAATGTCTCTCTATTGTGAAGCTAAATATCTATTGAACTCAGACTGAGTGTTTTTTTTTACCACTTTCAGAACACACAGTTTGTCACTTTAGGGCATTTTGCACAATTCAGCGTTTAACAATAATTGTGTCAAAATTGCACCGATTCACTTTTGGAAGAGTCATCCCGACGGTTAGAATTCAAACGGAGGCTGTGACGAGAATTTTAATGAAATGCATTCAATCACTTCAATTGATGAGTAACGCAGGCAATTTTTAGGCAGGGAAAATCACTTGTCATGAGCTATTTTCTTCACAGAAAAGACATGAGATCTTCAGTGTAAATCAGAGGCCGGGAGTGTCAGAAAACTGAGAGATAATAAAAATTGTTCACACAAGAGATATAGCAATGCGCACGAGAATTGCCAGAAGCACGACGTTATCAGCGTGAACACCGAGATTCAACTGAATTTACAGCGCCAAAATTGTTGCTATCAACATAGGAAAGACGGGGAAAGTGTCGTTGAATTTTCCCAACACACTCCAACGAAAGCCAGCGCACGAATGGCCAACGATAAGCTCCGAAGCTCGCCGCTGTGCACTTTCGAAGCTATGCCGGAGCTTTTTCCGTGACACTGGCGCGCCGAAGGTGAATGGAGAGGCACCCAGACTCGGACGCCGGGGTGTGGGTCGAGTGCAGGGACCAAGTGGTCCACCCACGGGGGTCCTCGAAGTTCGACTTGCGTGGTGTTCGGCGTGTCTCAACTTCCCATGAATTATTTCCCCCCATTCATCCTTTGCCAGGGGGAGGGACAATCTGCTGCCTGACGACATTTTCACCGAAGCAAAATAATCCCAAACACCCTATTGATGATGCGGGGTGAAAAACACACCGATAAATTACATCCTCCACCCCACATTCCTCCATCCAACCCATCGACTCTCCCGGGACTTTTCACTGAGATTTTAATCAATGAAAAATTCATCCTTCCTATAACCCAATAGACTTTTTTTCACCTCCACCACTTTTGGGTGTCCAATCGAGGGAATTGAGACTATGGACAGTAATTCCAAGCTTTCAATTATTGTATAAAATTTTAATGCTCTGTACCTTGTTTGAAAGCTTTTTCCGTTCAAAATGCGCCCACCGGCGTTGATGCAAAAATAAAAATTCCGAGAAACGCGTGACTTTTTAATGGAAAATAATTGGGATAATTGATATTTGTAGGGTTTTTTTCCGAAGAAATAATGAATTTTTTCCTGGAATAATCACGTTTAAATAAATTCAATAACCAGAGACAAAGTGTTATGTATGTATAGTCCAATTTTACATGTTTTTTTGTATTGCCTGCTATATTCGCAATATTCGCCCTCCATCATTCGTTCGCTCTTTGAATTTTACTCCAATTATTCCTTTAGAGATTACTCGTGATAGTTTGTTATCTAAAACCTCCTGTAATTATAACTCATAAGTTCATTTATAAATACAGTTTCTCTGCTTACATAGGTTAAATATGCACTGATTGAAGAGTCTTATTTTCTCAGCCTAACAGTTTGATGCGAGTTGTTTTGCCGCAAATATGAACCCCCTTTAGAAAATAGAGCTGAAAAGTTATGTCTGTTTAAAGGTCAAAAGCTTGGTCGAAAGCTACTCATAATTTTCAAATGTTTCAGTAATAAAGTTTTCTCTTCGCCTGGCTCTTCTCTCGCAAAACCAATTGAGGAAAAACAACAAACAGGCGGCAATATTTATGAATGAGCGATAATGAACGCTGAAGTTAAACCTGAGTGCAAAATTTTAGCGGGTAGCGATGCCAAAGTTTGTTCATTGCCTCTAATAAATTCCACACCTAACAATATTTCAGACACTTTTATCTCCTTCACCTTTTCTATCAGCCGAAAAGACGAGATGCTACTCTTTTCCCATGATAAAGCGCCTGTGCATGTTAAACTTTTGCTGTTAATGCTGTCGCAAGCATCCCTTGCCGCTCATCAAACATAACAACTTTCAATGGCACAGTTCTCGCCTTTGAACAATGACGTAAGTCTGAAAAGGACGTCCACGGACCTTTCACGTGACCCTCTATATTGCGTGATTCCTTGCACTTTATCAGAGTGGGAAACCTTGAAGGCCACGCTATAGAGTGTTGAGAAGTCTGCGAAATTGATGCTTCACGACTTTGGCCTTATCTCCAATCATTCGCCCACCCTCAGCCATTAACCTCTGCTCCTTCGGCTCCTTGCCATCTTTCGCGTGCCACTTCGGGAAGCAATTCACTTAAACAAGACACCGAAAAAGCTTGTAGGAAGAGTGACAGCACCACCTTACGTATATTTTCACAGGAAAAAAAACAAGGGGAAGGAGGAAATTCTCCGAAGAGTTTGAAAGTGAAAACTTTGATAAAGAATATTTTTTTGTCAATCAAGAAAGCTTCGTGGAAGAACTTAGTAATGTATATCGCTCTTCTGACTGAGAAAGATACATTTTTCTCACTGCTATTTATGGCCAAAGATTTAAGTAACGAGTTCATAAACAAAACTTGTATGTCTTTGATGGGTAATTTTTGGAAGAAAAAGTTTATCTTAATTTTTTTTTCATTTCGTAAGTGATATGTATTGTGAGACGAACCTTCCTATATTTGCCATGATATTTGTTAAATAAAGCTATCATTGAGAATATGTCAAAATGTTTTAATTAAAATGTTTTTGGCACAATGGACATTTTAGAGCTTTCAGAAAAGGGCAATAGGAAGTGAATAGGAAAAGATAAAAGTACGCTTTTGAGCCCACACAAATCTGAAAAAAGCGTCTTGTTGAGATGAGGACCGAATATAATTGAAGTAAGATATATATGTGGAATACAGGTTAAAAGAAGCCACAAGGAAGACAAAAAGTTGCCTGATTAATGTGAGAAACTCACGACAAATACACATTTTCACTGTGTCTGTGGGAGTTGGAAAGAAAGCCAATTAATGAAAATCAGAAAAGGTTTCTCTATCAATCCAAAGAAATTCTTTCTATTTCGGCAAAACACAATTTCACGTCAATGGCGCTCCTCCTCCGCCACCGCCTCATGCGTACAGTCTCAATCGCCTGCAAATCCACACGTGTTTCGCTGAGGCGGAGGAGGAAAATCCTCGCCTTCGCAGCCCCAACGACCCAGACAAATAGCAGAATTTTCTATCAATCACCACTTAATTCCCGAGTTTTTCTGCGGAGTTTCTTTGCTCAGTGAATTTGTGATGGGAAATTCTTTTGGATCATGACATATGGTTATACTTGAAAATCGCATCAATTCTAAAGTTTGCCGAATTGAACAGGTTAGATTTGAGGAAGGAGGAATTGAGGTAAAAGTGAGAAAATAATCTGTAATATGTACATGTGCGGCATATACAACATGCTTTCGAGAAAGGTTAATTTGCTCATCAGAGCTTCTTGCAAATATATGTAAAATATACATTTCGTAGAAAGCTTGATTGAAAATTAGCTAATTTCGAGAGAGAATGGACAGTGCATTTATCGTAGCCTAATCTATCCTATTTATCCAATTCACAATGCCAATGAATGTAATTTGAATCAGCATGTCTACGAAACGCCATATTTTCAATTACCATTCTCGCATTTCTTCTCATCACATTTGCATACAATACAACACTCTGACTATATATTGCTGTCTCTGAAAAAGTAATTGAGCAGACTTTTTGTGTTCGGCGCCAGAATCAGCATGTATCAGTGTTTATCCTCACTTTTACAGCCTTCCTGTTTCACTCTCTCTCTCTCTCTCTCTTCTTTCACAGCTGAATGTCTTCGGGCAAATTGATTTGTCTGTCTCGTGGTTGTGCCTGAACCACAAAAGGAGGCCAAAAGGAATTCCCCAGCCACACTTCCGCCCTATGCCGCCCACCATCAGCCGATGTTTAGGGTGGATTTGAGTGTTTATGTAGGGAATTGACACCGCATGTGAGGACTTTCTTTTGCCAATGTCACGACTTTTCCTCCCCCACTTGTGCACCCACGCCAATTCGTCAAAAAATTGTTGATCTCAAATTCATCTCCTGCAAAATCTTTTTTTTATTTGTCACGACCATAAACTCCACTAGGACAACTTGGTGAAACTTTTCTTCTGGAACATAAATAACCATCTTCATGGAATGATATAAATATTTGTGTCTCACGCTTTCCGTGGAGGAAAAAGTGAAAATTGGCGCGGTTGTGAAGGAAATTAGATTCATGTCAACACGTTCCAGCGTGTTGCGATGGCATTAGGTGATGAGTTGCCAGAGGAGTCGGTATGAGTAATGTTGGAAAAATAATTCATAACCCATGAGATTTCCAACCACTCCACTTCTTTGATATCCAGTAAACTTTTCACAAAATGATTTATTTATCATACAAAAACGGTTATCCCAAGAATCATTGAAGCGCTGAGCGTCGTAAGTCTGCTCTGAGATTTCTCTCTGATCGTGATTGGCTTTTTATAAAGAAAAAAAGTTCTTTAATTGCTTTCTATTAAATTATCCATAAATTTGCCAACCTGGAGCATTATGTTACATCAAAGAGGGTTGCCTTCAAGCGCGTCTTTCTTTCAGAGAAAGAAGAGAAGCAAGTAAAATGGCACATAAATTGGTGATCAAAGTGTAAAAACCATTAAGTTTTTATGTTCTTCCCGCACTTTTATAGCTATTCGCCCTCCGCACTCTGTGAGAAAAAATAGCTTTTGGGGCATGTCAATGAAAAATTGCAGAGGGTGGAAGTAAAAATTAAGTATAGAGGAGAAAGAGAGAAATTATATGCTATGAATTTATATAATATTGGATCTCTGACCAAATTTCTCCCATAAACGAGTGAGATGGGCCATAAAAATTCAAAGGTGCTGCCAACAATCACGAAAATGAACTCTTACAACAACTGAAGAATTCTTTCTCTAAGAAATACTTTTGGCATTGTTTGTGAGATGGATGTGATTCCTCAGATACTCTCGAAGTGTTGGGGTGCATTTTATCTGAAAATAATCTCAAATATCGCTCAAAAAGATTTTCATGCATTAAATTGTCTGGTTCTTACCAATTATCACTTGAAAATATTTCAAGACACTCTAGAGTGAAATGTGAACGTGAGGAATATTAATTACTTAATTTCAAGTCTAAATTTGAAGCATGAAAAAGCTCTCACAATTCTCTTTAGGAGCAATTAATTCATCCTGCGTGAAACGACAATTATGAATGGGAGCCGCAAAGCGATTCGGCAAACACTTCATCGCATTTGCGCGTGAAAAAGACACGTGGAAAATTCTATAAGGGGAAAAAGCCCATTCCCGCCGCCCACGCGAGTTCGCGAGGATCAAGAACAACATCATGTGAATATTCTGGGTAAATGTCGCGAGAAGTTCAGGTGCGGGATGAATATGAAAAACACATTAAATTCTCTTTGTCATTTCGCTCCCCGCCCTCT